TGAATACAACTTTTATAAGTTACCCAAATTCATACTCTTTGAAACTACACTTTTATGTTTTCAAAAAAATGTTTCGTTAGGACTACAGAACTCATAGAGTAAAAACCGAGTCAACTAGCCCCGGTCTCCCCTACCTCGTATTGGTACTCTTACCAAATTTAGTGTGTATGACACACAAAAACAACTACAAGTAGGTTTATGCTACGCCAAAATAAGTATCCATAGCAACCAAATAAAAAAAAACACCTTTATAAGAAGTGCAGTCCTTACACTGGTGCTCATGCCAAATTTAGTGTATATAGCACACATAACAAATCTGCAACTACAAAAAGTAGATTGTTGCTATGCAAAAAAATAGGTATCCATAGCAACTAAATAAAAAACAACACCTTCATAAGAAGCTCTGACCTTATATTGGTACTCATGCCAAATATAGTGAATGTAGCACTAATATTGAATTAGTTATTAATTTTGTCTCAAAATTGACCATTCTGGCCCACTGTGCATCGTACAGATAAAAAAAAAGCAAATGATCTTCATCATAAAAACTTAAAGTTGAACCATTTAAATTTTTTTTTAAATATTAACACTTACACTTGAATCTTGATCTAGAAAATACACTTCAAAATATTTTGAAATTTTTGAACATTTTATACAATGTGCTAAGAAAAAGGTGAAAATGGAATTCTTGCTATACCTGATAAGAGAATAGGCCAAAAATACCTAACTTTCTTACAGCTTTGGTTCAAGATTTTTTTCAACAAGATGAACATTCTAGAATTATGGATTATTAATTATTCTAGAATGCTCCTCCACAACAAAAAAGATTATTGTTGTGCAATCTTCATGAGCATTATATTGATTTTTAAAGTATATACCCTAATTTTTAAATAGGATTTTCAAAGTATTGTAGTTTGTTTCCAAAATGGAGTATTAGTGTGGGACCAAACAGTACACACTGTGTATGTGTTTGTATTCACCATCAAAAGTCAATATTGCTTGTGAATGCTGTCAAATTACATGCAAAGATTTAATATCAAAATTAGTAAGTGATACAAGCAATAATAAATGCATGGTTCATAGTGTGCCAAATGTCCAGTTTATGATAACTTAAAGGCATTTTTAAATGGAATTTTTTGAATATAAAAAACTAGTTGTTTCTCACATTATTCAACTTATTTCACATTCATATATTGCTAAATGCCTAACTCAATATTTGAAAGAGCTAAAAAATAATTTAGGTTACAATGAATGTATCATACAGACAGATTTTGCAGAGAACTATCAATTTGTTATACAGGATGAAATACAAAGTTATCCTTGGAATAAACAAAAATGTACACTATATCCAGTTGTTATAAATTTTAAGGAAATTTCTGAAAAAAAAACAACTAAATTTGCAATACACATCTGCATTTATATAATTCTCCCCCTTTGAAAGTATAATTTTTTAGGATCAAATTCTATAAAATTAAAAAGAAAACAGAAACACCTAATCAACAACAACTACAAGAACAGTTTGATACAGCCAAAACTGTTTCAGTTACAAAACTTTCAAATTACCACTTTTTTTTTCTTGTTTAATTTATCAAAATACCTGTTTTTTAAGCAATAAATTTAAGTAGATTTGACCATATTTTTATTTCTGTTTTAGAAGACCGCTTTCTAATTCTTTGCATTAACTATAGTTTAAGTATTCAGATCAACTTTAAAAAAATAAAAATCCAACTACATCAGCATTTTTGTGATTGGACTCGCCCCAGTAAAATTGTGGTAAACAACTATATTTTAGGTGTTATATTCGTTTTTAAATATTTCAAGTTGTTTCATTGGATTTGTTGGCCCAAAATATGTAAAAGTACAAATTTTCACCTTTCCAAAATACATAACTAACAGAAACTAGGACCAAAACCATTTTTTAAAATGGCGGATTTTTGTTGGTTGGAGGCAAACTTAAAATAGCTATATCTTAGGAACCGATTGAAATTAGACAATAAAATTTGCAGGATGTTCATAATTTACTAAAGTCTTTAAGTGGTTTAAAAATCAGTAAAATCTGAGACTTAAAATTGCCTTCAATGTTTTCACATGGAATCGCCCATTTCCATGACTTTCTTTCTTAAAATAGAATACTAAAATATAAAACTATTTTATTTTACATGCCAAAATATCCAAATCTTTCCCAACATGTTAGTAACAACCTAAATCTTCCACAACCTCTTAGAAACCACTTGATCTTCTTTAACCAATTATATGCGGTAGTGGTGTAGTGGTAGAGCGCTTGCTTCATAAACGAGTGGTTCCGAGTTTGATCCCCACCACGTCCCTGGTAGTACCACGCTCAACTCGTTTCTCCGCGCAGCGGCCTTGTTCGTCAAGGTTCGTGTTTCGGAGTTATAGAGTTGAGAGAGGGTTATAACCACAAATAAGTAGCCTCCTCGTCTGTAGTAGCCTTCTCAGCCTTAAGAAGGTGAATTAAAATAAAATAAAAAAAATAATAAAAAAAATATACACTCACTAATCCCAATCTCTGCAAAAAACTGATCTTTTTTATCATTAAGAATCTGTGTGACACTAGTAATCTGTGTGACACTAGTAATCTGTGTGACACTAGTAATCTCTTTTTTTTTTCAAGATAATGGATATCATCAAACTTAATTGCTCATGTTTTACTGCCATACATCAAAACAACCTAACACTGTAACTTTCCTTTTATCGTTAATAATGCTCTTGCTGTTGGAAACTGAGATAATTCATTGCTTACAAAGTGTACAAATTGAGTTTGCTCAAACTCCTTCCCTACACACTCCACATGGTGGCTTTTATTCTATACTTGCTCATTTTCGATTTTACAATTTTTACTATTTATTTTATTCGTAATTTTTCCAACACTGAAGTAAGTAGTAATTTGTTTATTGCCTCTGAAATCAAGCATAAATCATCTGCTTAGAACAGCTTCCATGATAACACAGAACTCTTCAAGCAAAAGCACTAAACCCAATTGCAAACCAACCTTTACTTTTAAACTATTACTATCTCTGACTTTGTTTTGATTGCTGTTGTGACACTTTCATTTAATAGAAAGAGAATAATTTAAATAAGGATACTTCAGCTTTGGATATTCAATGTGAAGGATACTTCAACTTTGGAATTCAATGCTCCTGTCTTTTGATTGCTAAAAGCATTGAGTATAAAAAACCATCATTACCACCAAATTCCTTCAATATGTCAATAAAAATTAGAATTTTTGGAAGTAAATTTTTATCATTTGAATTTTACCTATAGTAAATTCACAAGGCATCTTTCTATTTATAAGATTAAATTAAAATTTACTTTTTTCCCAAAACTGTACTATTTTCTGTTAATTCTGATCAAACTGACAAACCTATTAATTTTATCAATCAACCAACATAATCATTATTGGAAATTTTAATGATCACCACACTGAACAACTAGGTTAAAAGATTACTGTCTTTGCTGGTACCAAAGCTCAAAATTTTTTTCTTTCTCAGCTTCTTGCTCAGATACTTTAGGACTTGTTTTAGTTGACTTTAGGACTTGTTTTCCAAACAACTCTGATCACTTACATCGACTTTTTGATTTATGTCATTTCTCTGATTCTAGCTTGTGCTCATTTTCTACTTGTTCTCCTTAAGGTGGTTCAAAACATGTAGTGATCTCTATAAAACTTTCACCTCGTACTTTTTTTTCAAACTCACAATTGCACCTCTTACTACTACTTAAAGGTTGTAATTTCTTCTGTGGTTTTTTTAATGATGATTCTTGGAATGATTTACTTCATTATTTCTAGTAACTTTTGGGGTACCACAAGAATAGTAAGGTCTGGATATACTTAGTAGTGAGATCTGGGTAAAACTAATAGTGAGGCCTGCATATGACAAAAGCAAATTTTTTAAAAAATATGAAACTGAAATAACAAACCTTTTTTTGATATTTTCAGTTTCTTATGTTGTTTTTTAAACTTTCTAAAGATCTTTTTTGCTTTATCGCTTTTTATGACCTTATTTTTTTTATTATTGAATTTTCTACTCTTTTTTTCCTAAATCTAATATATGATCTACTCAAATTTATTTACTACTGAATTAAAACTTAAGCAAACATTAAACAATGCTTAAGATCAACAAAAGGACGTTTGAGGCAAACCAAATATGTTTAAATAATAAAGATATGTTGAAGAAGAAATCAATTGTGTTTTTAAATATTGTTTATTAATAATTATGATTTTTATTTGTTGTTTTTAAATATTGTGTTTTAAACATTGTGTTTTAAACATTGTATTTTAAACATTGATTATTTATTTTTTGTTTTTAAACATTGTGTTTTGTAATTGTTTTTTTAAAAATTGTTTTTTAATCATTGTGTTTTTAAAAAAAGTTTTCTTATTTGTTGTTTTTAAACATTGTGTGTAGTAATTGTGTTAAAAAACATTGTTTTTTAAATATTGTTTTTAAACATTGCGATTTAAAAAAAGTATAAACACAATGTTTTTTTTTACTTAAAAAGCAGAAATATAAATTTTTTATATAATATTATTTAATTAGTTAAAGAGAAAACCTGAAAGTTCAAAAACCTGAAATTCAAAATAAATAAGTCTTAATTAAATTAGGCGCAATATTTAAAAGTATAATATAATAGCAATATTTTAAAATAAATTTTACTTTATAGGTTTTTTAAAAAAAGATTAGTTTCCTCAATTAAATTTAATGTTATATATATAAATTAAATATGTATATATATATATATATATATATATATATATATATATATATATATATATATATATATATATATATATATACATATATATAAATATATATATATATATATATATATATATATATATATATATATATATATATATAAATATATATATATATATATATATATATATATATATATATATATATATATATATATATTTATATATATATATATATATATATATATATATATAGATTTATATATAATATACAACTCTATTATGTTAAATACCGCTGTAACTCTTTCTCTCTCATTTTCTTTTCTTCATCCAGCTCTTTTTTAATTTTTATCATTTGTTTTTTGATATCTTCTTCCTCTTTCATTTTTACTTTAAAATATTCTTTTTCTTCTTCTTCTACACGTTTTTTTGCTTGCTCTGCAACATTTTGTTTTTCAAGCAATGCATTCTTATATTTTAATGTATTTTCTTGTCTTAATTTATTCTTGGCTCTATCCTTAAAAACAGAAAAAAAACTTAACTTCAAACAATAAAATAAAAATTTATATATTCATGAACAATAGCTAACCTCTATATTTCTGTTAGCCTTTCTCAGAGAATGGTCCTTTACTTTAATCTTTTTTAAATCTAATGGCACATTGCTTGAAATATCTAATTCTCTCATATTATTTAAAATTTCATTTATAAACAAAGTTTCATCAATTTCTTTGCTATCTTTAAAAAATTTTTCCTGTTCAAAGTTACTATTCGAATTGATATTCTTTTCTTCTCTAACGTCATTAAAACAATTTCCATGTATAATGCTTAAGTAGGTAGGCGATTCTGACCCGTTTTTAAAAGATGACGTACTTTTAGAAGCTGGAAGACTTGTGTCTTTTTTCCAACTTTCTAACAACTCAGAAACTAAAGTAAAACAGGTTCACAAATAAGATAAAAGTAAAATTAGCAACATCATGTTGAAAAAATTAACATTTAAATGGTCAACATCCATCAAAACTGTTTTGTTAAAGAATAATAATTTAAACATCATAAATAAGAACAAATTTAAAAGGCACACAAATCAATTACAAACAAACAAATAAACAATCAAAAGAACACTAAATGACATATATCTTGTCTAAAATAAACACCAAATAACTCACATATATCTCTGCTTGTCTAAAAAACCTTTTAATAGCAGAATATATATACATAATATATATAAGGGACTGCAATATACAATAACTAATTATTATTATTAAAAAATATTTAGCAATAAAAATTTTATTACTAAAAAAATTTTATTACAACAAAAATTTAAATAAATGTTCAAAAAATGAACAAAAAAATTAAGATAAAAAAAACTATTTTATTTCATCTGGTCTTTTTAGTAGTTATATATTTTTTACCTTTCTTCCACCTGTTTGCTAACAGATTTAAAGTTGAATCATCAGCAAAGAGAGCCACTTTAGATGTAAGGTTGTCAGGATGATCATTAATATAGATAAGAAACAAAACAGGACCAAGAATAGAACATTAAGGTACCCCAGAAGTTACTGGAAACAAAGTAGAGTGTTGGCCTTTGAGGATTACTTTAATAAACTGGGAATAAAAATTTTTGATTTGATAATCTCAAAAACTTTCACAGATACACCATAAGAAACAAGCTTATGGAGAAAACCAACATACCTTTGTCAAGCCGCCTCCATCTAATACACAACAAAATCTTTCAGTCACAACAGCCGTAGAGCAAGAGGATTTTCTGGCAAATGACTCAAGATGGGATGTTAGAAGTTTGTTGAATAAAGACCTTGCTAATAACAGATAGAAGACTGATTGGGCAATAATTTATTATTAGAACCACAGATGCCATTTTCCAGCAAGCAGGAAAACAAGATTCAGTCAAGCACTAATTAAATAGTTTAGAAAGAATTGAAGAAAGTTTTTGAGAACACTAGTACCCATCAATACTGAGATCTGAGAAAGGAACAGTGGAATTTGAATTAGTCTTACAAATACCAAGCAAGTCTGGTGAATTTTGCAAGAGGTGAAATTTAACTGATGGAAAGTTACTTCACAGGCCACAAATAATTGTGAAAGATATATTGAAACAGTTAGGTGGTGGAGTTTATTAAATTTAATATTTTTAGTTACTTTAGACATGGTTTAAGTTTAAAGAGTAATTTAGGTAGTAAAAAGATCTCATTTATAGATATAGCATGGCATCCCAAGCAATTAGCTATGTAGTTGTCTCTGTCCTGCTAATTCTGTCATAACTTAGGGCTCCTTATGTTGCCTCAAAAATGCATATCTAAAGCACTAACAGAGATATCATTAATGTGCATCATTAAACTGTCAATACTATGATATTTTACAGCTGTTGATGGAATCAGCCTCTCTGAGAGCTACCACAGAGTTTGGGAAACTTTACTAACAGCTACCCTCAAAACCACTTAAGTGAGTTTTAGAGCTGTACCATCATTATGAGATAACAGGAAGAGTTGCAGAGCCACTATCAAAGAGACACAAGCAAAAATTTATGAGTAAAGTTAAAAAAATCCAAAATCTATCATCCTAGGCAGGAAACGATGTAACATATGTTTACATCTATACCAACCTAATAGATAAAGGAGAGGTTTAAGACTGGTCAACAGAATTATTTAGCTTACTCCTAAAAGATTTGTACAATCAACAAATTGCACTGAAAATCAAAAGATCATGCAGTGAATAACTTTATAAATTTACGTAAAAAATACGACAAAAATCACCCTAATAGCAGAAATAAAAAAAAAAAAAAAAGTAACATTTTTTTTTTTTTAACATCTTCGCTTCTAACAAGGCTGCAAGCAACCACTAACTAGTGTTGGAAGTTACTGGAAGAGAAAAGATGAAGATTGTAGAGCAAGATAACGATTGACAGACGACTTAAAAGATGGCAAATTATATGAATCAGGAAAGCAAGATGAAGGAAGCGAATTCCATAGAATTGATGTTTGAGGAAAATAACTAGACGAATAAGAGTTTTTGGAGCACTTAGGAACAGTAACAGAAAAAGGATGAGACTTTATTAATGACGAGTAACACGAGAATGAATTTTAGTAGATGGCACAAGAGACGCTAGCTCTTTAGAGCAGTGCCCATTATAATATTTGTAGAAAAGAGAAAGATAAGCAACATTACGACGATGTGACAGAGGTTGAAGGGTGGCTGCAAGAGCAGGTCCAACTATGTTTACAATGCGTTTTTGCACCTTGTCTAAAAGAGAAAGAGCATCATTAGAAGGTCCGCCCCAGATATGGCAACAGTATTCCATACAAGGTCAGATTTGAGATTTATAGAGATAGAGAATAGAATCCAGAGTAAGAAAGTGTCGAGCTCGATAAAGAGATGCAACTTTAGCTGATGCTAATTTTGCAACGGATTTGATATAAGGTTTCCAAGAAAGATCAGAAGTAAGAGTTAATCCTAGAAGATGAAGGGTAGATGACTCATCGAGTACATTACCGTTCATAAATAGGAAGGTCTAAATTATTGCGATAACGATTGGCTGAAAAAAAATTGAGTTTTATCTGAACTAAAGTTCACCAGCCACTGTGAGCCCCATGCTGTAGCAGAAGTGAGAGCCTTATCAAGCTCAAATGCCCCCTGCAAGCAATCAGAGGGAGTTGGCTTCTTATCGTGACAAGAATAAATGGTAGTATCATCAGCGAACAATGCCACCTCAGATGTGAGAATATCTGGAAGATCGTTAATGTATGTTAAAAAGAGTATAGGGCCAAGGATTGAACCTTGAGGAACCCCTGAAGTTACAGAATAAGAAGAAAAGTGCTGTCCATCAAGGACAACTTTTATACTACGATTGGAAAGAAAGGATTCAATAATCTTAAAGATGTTTCCAGATACACCGTAAGAAGAAAGCTTATGGAGAAGACCAGCATGCCAAACTTTATCAAACGCTTTAGAAATGTCAAAAGCAATGGCCTTAACCTCTCCACCTTTATTTAATGCACGATAGAACTTATCGATTATTACTGTTAGCAAATCAGTCGGATCACTCTCCAGAATTTTTAAAAATAGGGATAACAGATGCTGCTTTCCAGCAGGCTGGAAAACAAGACTCTGATAAGCACTTGTTGAATAGTTTGAAAAGATAGACAACAGCTCTGGAGAACACTTCTGCAAGATTATAACAGGTATGTTGTCCGGGCCACAAGCTGTAGAAGAGTCTAAGCAGGAAATCACTTTAGATACAGAAGCTGGAGTGATATGAATGTCAAGCAATGGATCAACCTGTTTGACGACTATATCAGGTAGAACGCAACTAGTGGAGTCAAGAGATGATATTGATGAAAAGTTCTTAGCAAACAATTCAGTCTTGTCTTTAGGTGAGGTGACAGTCTGAACCATACAAAAGAGGTTGAATTACAGACTTGCCCTTATTATTGATACTATTAAAGATTCTCCAGAAGTCACAAGAGCCTAATTTTTGTGATGAAATACGAGATTTCATGATCTGAGAATAGTGGGCTTTGGCGTTAGACAAAACCTTTTTACAATGGTTCCTAGCAGTAATAAACAGACGCCTGTTTTCTGGAGAATTATTTTGTTGATAGATATGGAAGTAATAGTTTCGATTGGCAATTGCAGCAGCACAATGCGAGGAAAGCCATGGAGAAGAGTGAGGCTTGACCTGGAATCATCGAGAGGGAATAAAGGATTCCATGCCAGCCTGAATCCACGAAGTTATGTAAGAAGCACATTTGTCAATAGGACGACGAAAGATTTCTACCCAGGGGCCATCACGAAAAAAATCACGGAAAAAGTCCCAGTCAGCTTTAAGGTAGTTGTAAGATGTACAATGATAGGGGGATTCTGATGATAAAGAAGAATGAGATAATAGTTTTAGAGAGACCAAACCATGATCGAATGCACCTAAGAGTGAGAGAGGAGAAACTGAGGACTGACTAGGATCAGAAACAAGACATAAGTCGAGTTGAGAAGGTAAATGATTCGGGTTATCTGGAAAGCGAGTTGGAAAGTTGACTATTTGAGTTAGGGATTGAGAAAGGCAAAAGTTGTGGGCCTTAATGTCTGCAGAGTCACTGACACTAGAAGCCAAGCCATTCAGTGTGATGAACAAGTCACTGACAACAACAATATTGGCTGATGGATAAAGAGAGAGGGCTTGGTCAATATGATCAGAAATAACATCAAGAAAAGTGCAGTCTTGATATGAGGGAGAGCGATATAGAACAAAGAGAAAGGTGATAGAGTGAAGTGGTGCTAAACGAAAGCACATAAAAGAGTAGTTTGTGGATTCAAATCTAGTTTCCCAACAAATGGGTGAACTCTTACAAATGTAAATGCCCAGGCCAAGCATGTGACTATTGGAGTCTTTACGAATTAAAGGAAGATAACCATCAACACTAAGATCACAAGATGAGACAGCTGAACTCAAATTAGTCTCACAAAGAGCAAGTAGGTCTGGTGAACTTTGCAAGAGATAAGATTCAACAGAAGAAAAGTTACTTCCAAGACCACGAATATTAGTGAATGATAGTTTTAGCGAACTTGGTGATGACTGTGGTTTTTTGTGTGTTATAGTTTTTGTTACTTTATTCATTTTTAAATTTGTTAAAGAACTTGACTCGAAACATAGATAGTACTCAGTGCAATTGCCTCATTTTCATTAATAAACCCTAAGCCGTAACAAAGGGCTCCAATGTAGCCTTGGCAATGCACACCAAAAGTACAAACAGGGACACCATCCATGCGCAACATGGCACTGTTAGTACTTTGATATTTTTCAGCTGTTGATGGAATCAGGCTCTCTGAGAGCTACCACAGAGTTCGGGAAACCAGCCGGCCTCAGAACCATAAAACTGAGTTTTAGAGCTGTACCCTCATTTGGAGATAATAGAATG